TGCCGCATCTGAGCAATGAGTGCGAGAGAGGTCTTGGATTGGTCCATACGCTGTTTTGTCCTTTCTCTCTCTCGCACTCATTGCTCAGATGCGGCACGTCAAAGGAGCACGCTCGGCTTTGACAAGCCGCCGTTTTATCGTATATCTCTCTCCCACTCATTGATCAGATGCGGCAACCCGCGGCTCGTCAAAGGGACACACACACACTCGCAAAAATACAGGCTGGGCCTCGTAATTTGGTCCGCGGTGGTAGTGGCGAGCCTGAATCCGGGTGCCCGGAAAAAACACCAGAGCGCTTGCCCGCTCCCATGCCCCGAAAAAACACGGGAGTGTCTTCCGACCATGAGCCCTGGAAACAACGGCCGTATACGGTTACTAAGGCTCAACTTGGATTGGTCCAAACGCTGTTTTGTCCTTTCTCTCTCTCGCACTCATTGCTCAGATGCGGCACGTCAAAGGAGCACACTCGGCTTTGACAAGCCGCCGTTTTATCGTCTATCTCTCTCCCACTCATTGATCAGATGCGGCAACCCGCGGCTCGTCAAAGGGACACACACACACTCGCAAAAATACAGGCTGGGCCTCGTAATTTGGTCCGCGGTGGTAGTGGCGAGCCTGAATCCGGTTGCCCCGAAAAAACACGGGAGTGCTTTTCGACCATGAGCCCTGGAAACAACGGCCGTATACGGGGACTAAGGCTCAACTTGAATTGGTCCATACGCTGTTTTGTCCTTTCTCTCTCTCGCACTCATTGCTCAGATGCGGCACGTCAAAGGAGTACACTCGGCTTTGACAAGCCGCCGTTTCATCGTCTATCTCTCTCCCACTCATTGATCAGATGCGGCAACCCGCGGCTCGTCAAAGGGACACACACACACTCGCAAAAATACAGGCTTAGCCTCGTAATTTGATCCGCGGTGGTAGTGGCGAGCCTGAATCCGGGTGCCCCGAAAAAACACGGGAGTGCCTTCCGACCATGAGCCCTGGAAACAACGGCCGTATACGGGGACTAAGGCTCAACTTGGATTGGTCCAAACGCTGTTTTGTCCTTTCTCTCTCTCGCACTCATTGCTCAGATGCGGCACGTCAAAGGAGCACACTCGGCTTTGACAAGCCGCCGTTTTAACGTCTACCTCTCTCCCACTTATTGATCAGATGCGGAAACCCGCGGCTCGTCAAAGGGACACACACACACTCGCAAAAATACAGGCTGGACCTCGTAATTTGGTCCGCGGTGGTAGTGGCGAGCCTGAATCCGGTTGCCCCGAAAAAACACGGGAGTGCTTTCCGACCATGAGCCCTGGAAACAACGGCCGTATACGGGGACTAAGGCTCAACTTGGATTGGTCCATACGCTGTTTTGTCCTTTCTCTCTCTCGCACTCATTGCTCAGATGCGGCACGTCAAAGGAGCACGCTCGGCTTTGACAAGCCGCCGTTTTATCGTCTACCTCTTTCCCACTTATTGATCAGATGCGGCAACCCGCGGCTCGTCAAAGGGACACACACACACTCGCAAAACTACAGGCTGGGCCTCGTAATTTGGTCCGCGGTGGTAGTGGCGAGCCTGAATCCGGGTGCCCGGAAAAAACACCAGAGCGCTTTCCGACCATGAGCCCTGGAAACAACGGCCGTTTACGGGGACTAAGGCTCAACTTGGATTGGTCCATACGCTGTTTTGTCCTTTCTCTCTCTCGCACTCATTGCTCAGATGCGGCACGTCAAAGGAGCACACTCGGCTTTGACAAGCCGCCGTTTTATCGTATATCTCTCTCCCACTCATTGATCAGATGCGGCAACCCGCGGCTCGTCAAAGGGACACACACACACTCGCAAAAATACAGGCTGGGCCTCGTAATTTGGTCCGCGGTGGTAGAGGCGAGCCTGAATCCGGGTGCCCGGAAAAAACACCAGAGCGCTTTCCGACCATGAGCCCTGGAAACAACGGCCGTATACGGGGACAAAGGCTCAACTTGAATTGGTCCATACGCTGTTTTGTCCTTTCTCTCTCTCGCACTCATTGCTCAGATGCGGCACGTCAAAAGAGCACACTCGGCTTTGACAAGCCGCCGTTTTATCGTATATCTCTCTCCCACTCATTGATCAGATGCGGCAACCCGCGGCTCGTCAAAGGGACACACACACACTCGCAAAAATACAGGCTTAGCCTCGTAATTTGATCCGCGGTGGTAGTGGCGAGCCTGAATCTGGGTGCCCCGAAAAAACACGGGAGTGTCTTCCGACCTTGAGCCCTGGAAACAACGGCCGTATACGGTTACTAAGGCTCAACTTGGATTGGTCCAAACGCTGTTTTGTCCTTTCCCTCTCTCGCACTCATTGCTCAGATGCGGCACGTCAAAGGAGCACACTCGGCTTTGACAAGCCGCCGTTTTATCGTCCATCTCTCTCCCACTCATTGATCAGATGCGGCAACCCGTGGCTCGTCAAAGGGACACACACACACTCGCAAAAAAACAGGCTTAGCCTCGTAATTTTGTCCGCGGTGGTAGTGGCGAGCCTGAATCCGGTTGCCCCGAAAAAACACGGGAGTGCTTTCCGACCATGAGCCCTGGAAACAACGGCCGTATACGGGGACTAAGGCTCAACTTGGATTGGTCCATACGCTGTTTTGTCCTTTCTCTCTCTCGCACTCATTGCTCAGATGCGGCACGTCAAAGGAGCACACTCGGCTTTGACAAGACGCCGTTTTATCGTATATCTCTCTCCCACTCAATGATCAGATGCGGCAACCCGCGGCTCGTCAAAGGGACACACACACACTCGCAAAAATACAGGCTGGGCCTCGTAATTTGGTCCGCGGTGGTAGTGGCGAGCCTGAATCCGGGTGCCCGGAAAAAACACCAGAGCGCTTTCCGACCATGAGCCCTGGAAACAACGGCCGTATACGGGGACTAAGGCTCAACTTGAATTGGTCCAAACGCTGTTTTGTCCTTTCTCTCTCTCGCACTCATTGCTCAGATGCGGCACGTCAAAGGAGCACACTCGGCTTTGACATGCCGCCGTTTTATCGTCTATCTCTCTCCCACTCATTGATCAGATGCG